ATTCTTATGTTGAACATGTAATTTAAAATAACTTCTTAGTCTTAGGTTAGAGTATTTGAATTTGGGGGCTGGGGATTTAGCTCAGCGGCATAAAAACCTGCCTTGCAAGCAGGCGGTAGTGAGTTCGATCCCTAGTACCGATAAAAAGTTAAATAAAAAAAAATTTTTAAAAAAGAGTATTTGAATTTGTCTGTGTACGTTTACCAGCCAGTGTTACACTTTCAGTAGAGTGTTTTGAAAATTATGCTTAGTTGAAGGTGTGTAACATAAGTTTTTGTTTGTTTGTATTGTTTTGTTGGCCTTGAACTTACTTATATAACCCAGGATGGACTCAAACCCTGGGCAATCCTCCTGCCTCAGCCTCCCAAGTGCTGGGATACTGGCATGTGCCAATATATCTGAGTAACATACGTTTTAAGTAAAAATTATTTTTGCTAACTTTTGGGTTTAATTTGCACAGAATATCTTTTCCATCCTTTCACATTCTACAGATGTCCTTTTATATGAGGTGAATCTCTTATAGCATCATATATTTGGGTCTTGATTTTCTATTAATCCATTCAGCCACTCTGTTTAGAGATTGAGAATTTAACCCCTCTTACATACAGGTTATTATTGATTTAAGGACTTAATAATGTCATAGTATTGTTTTTTTCATGTTTTTATATATCTTTTGTGGTTGATTTCCCCCCTCCCCCCTGTGGCTATACTTTCATTCTTTTCGATTTTTTTATGTGTCTGTTATTGATTTTTTTTAAAAATAGTGGTTAGTATTTACAAAAATACAGTTACAACATTCTATTTTAAGCTAACAATTTTTATCATTTAAAGCTACACTTTTACCTCCCCCCACCATTTTATATTTTGATGTCACAATTACATATTCACTTTATACAATATATCCCTTAAATTACTAGTTACGTCATTGTTCTTAACAGTTTTGTCTTTTAACCTTCCTACTAAAGATACAAGAAGTGTACATACCACCATTATAATACCAGAATTTGCACTTACTTTTACCAGACAGTGTTTTTTCTTTCATATATTTTCATGCACTTTTTTCTTGAAATTTGTATTCCCTTTACCATTTCATGTAAGGTAGCACAGGTGGAGATGAACTCCTTCAGCTTTTGTTTGTCTTGGAAAGTCTTTATCTCTTCTTCATTTCTGAAGGACAGCTTTGCTGCATATGGCAATCCTCTTGCCTCCTGCCTGACGTTTCTTTTTCCAATAGCACTTTGAATATAACATCCCATCCTCTTCTGGTCTGTAGTCTTGGCTGAGAACTCTACATATAGCCTTTATGAGACTCATGTAATTTGAAACTCCTTTTTGTGTTTTCTTTTCTCTTTCTGCTTTCAGGATTCTCTTATTTGTCCTCAATTTTCGATAGTTTGGTTATAATATATCTAGAAGTAATTTTGTTTCACTTGGGTTTCATTGGAGACAGTTTGTCTTTCTGTAGCTGGATATTTATATCTGTCCCCAAATTTGGAAACTGTTCTATTTTTCTTTAAATAAACTTTTAACACGTTGTCCTTTTCTCTCTTCTTCATGAATTTCTTTAATCCTAGCATTTTCTCTTTTGATGTTATTTTGTAAATCTGCAAGCTTGTCTTTCTTTTTTATTTGTTTGTTTGTTTTTAAGACAGGGTCTTGTTAGGTCCAGCTGGCCTTGAACTCACTATGTAGGACAAGGTGGCCTCTAACTCATAGAGATCCTCCTGCCTCAGGTTGCCAAGTGCTTGGAGTACAGGTAGCACCATACCCAGTCCCCAAAACTTTCTTCATTTGTTTTCATTCTTTTTCTGCTTTGTCTATATTTTCAAATAACCTACCTTTGAAGTCAAAGTTTCTTTTGCTTCTAGCCTTCTAGATCTGGTCTGCTGATGCTGATCTGTGTTGTAGTTTTCATTTCATTATATTTTTCAACTCCAGAACTGATTTTTATTGATAATTTTTTATTTGTGTGTAAAATATCTAATTTTTGCCACTAATGCTTTCTTTTCTTTTCTTTTCTTTTTTTTTTTTTTTTTTTTTTTTTTTTTTTGTCTTTTTGAGACAGGGTCTCGCTGTGCAGTTCAAGCTGGCCTTGAGCTCACTTTATAGCCTAGGCTGGCATCGAACTCACAACGATCCTCCTGCCTCAGCCTCCCGAGTGCTGGGATTACAGACGTGAGCCACCACGCCTGGCTCAGTAATGCTTTCTTAATTCATTGAATTTTATATTTTCTTGGATTTGTTAAGCTTCTTTAAAAGTTATTTTGAATTCTTTATTAGAAAGTTAATATATCTTCATTTCTTTTTAGTTAGCTAAGAAATTGTGTTCTTTTTGTGATATTAAGTTCCCCTGGTTTTTCATGTTTCCTGTCACCTTACATTGATAGCACCACATTTGACAAAGTAGGTATTTAATCTAGAGTTTTTGCAGATTTGCTCTGTTAGGGAAAGCTCTTTACCAGTCAGCTTGCCCAGAGATTTTAGTCAGACCATCTGACACGGTCCTCAGGAGAGCTTTGCTTCTTCCTTCCTTAGAAATCTGACCAGTACCCAGATCATCAGACATCCAGGCACGGCTTCTGGTCCTCAGGACTAGGTCTGAAGTCTGAATCTGGCATGGTAAGCCTGCTGATTGGGTCTCCAAGAATGGTCCTCAAGCCTGGATTCACAAGGGCAGGCCTGGATCTTGTGCCTACACAAGCTAGCTAGAAACCTGATCCCAAAGAAACTTACCCAGTGTTGGGCCCTAAATCTAGGACTGCAGGGTGAGGCTTGAGTCTGAGGCAGGGCTGGTACCTGGGACCACTGGACCACTGAGTTTTCTGGACTGGTTTTAGAACTTTAATTTAAGGCATCCAGCCTGGATCTAGGATCTACTAGGGTGGGTCTAGGCTCTTAGTAGTCTAGAGAATGCTTAAAATATGAGTCCTTTGGCAACTAAGGCTCCAAAATCAGACTGGTACTGTGGCCAGTATATAGCCAGAGTCTGCAGGGGCTCATTTAGAGCCTAGGATCATATATGTTAATGGGATGCCTAGAACCACTGAGCCTACCCTAAAGGCTGGGACTTCTGATGTTGTTGTAAAGTTTGGTTGTGTTGACATAGAGGTTAAATCAACAAAGGTAAACTTAAATCCTGGAGCTTCAGGGGTCAGTCTGGTATCTGGGTACACAGAAGTAGTCTTAAATCCTGGATCTATGGGGGATAGCACTAGAATCTAGTGGAACAGCCCTGGACCCTCATCTTATGGAGAATGGAGCTATAGGGACTAAACTGGAAGGTGAGACTGTAGGAACTGCACTAGAGCTACAGGATCTTGGCCGACACTGGGGCATGTTTAACAGCTCAGGCAGTGAGTACAGGCCTACAGCCTATAATTACAGGTTCTGGCTTGAGGGTTGGGTCCATGCATGTGAGCCTGATACCTAGGGCTGCAGGAGTCAGCCTGATTCTAGATCTGGCCTAAATCGTGAGGCTGTGGTGGAGGCCTGGATAGTGCTGAGGGCAGTCCAGCGTCTAAGGCCACAGAGGTGGACCTGGCATTGGAGCAACCTGGAGACTGAGTTTGTTGCACAGACCTTCAGCCTGAAGTAATAAATTTAGACTGACACCAGAACAAGAATGGAGGCTCAGTCTGCAGGTGCCAGTCTATGGGCTGGGGCTGTGGAGACCTGCTTCCTGTTAGGTTTCACTGGGGTGAGTTTTACTGGTGTGGGCAGACTTAGTGTTGGCTTTTAAGACAAAGTCTGGCTCTCTCTTCCCTCTTCTTCCTTCAGCCATAGGTTATTTTTTTTATGCTGTGTCACTTGGGATTTGGGCAGGGGTGATACTTATAACGTCAAATTGAGCTTCTTATACTTCTCAGTGTACCTTATTTCTGTGGTGTACCCAAGAGCTGTAATCACTTCCCTTGTTTCATTAGTGCTTGTCAAGGTATTTTCATGGATGAACAGTTTTTCAAATTGAGGATTTTACGGGAGGACAAGCACTGAAGAACACTATTCTACCATCTTGCAGATATCTATTCTGATCATTTTAAATTAAAAACTCATATGTGTTTTGCAAAATTAAGACAATTGTATAGAGAGAAAATAGTTGTTTTCTCTCATTAATCCTTCTGTCACTTCCCACAGTTAATAATTTTTAATTTAGTTTATATCATTCATAATTTTATTTGTACATATGTGCATATATTTAATTTTGAAATTAAATATGTGCTATATTCTACATCTTATTTTGGCATCTTTTCACAAAAGTGTATGTGTTATTAATTCATTCATACAAATAACCAAATAATAAGCAAAATTTTGATATTTTGTGATTTATATCCTTTAGATAAACTGCTAACCTTTGGTACAATATAGTGAAGCTATTAAGGACTTCAGATAAAGTGATGACTTTAAATGTAAATACAAAATATTTGGCATGTGTTACTTACTACAGTGAAAAACACTATAGCATGAACATGATATCATTGGGGGAACTTATATATGAGATTTATTTAGCCAAATGAATGCCCTAGTAGTTGTACAGTAATACAAGATGTTTGCCCTCATGGACAAAGGTGATTTGTGGTTCCCTGTGACTTTTGAGTAACACGGGAATTATATCTCCATATTTAAGTGACAGTCTTAAAACAATACATTTCTTAGGATTTTGTGCCATAAAAAGCACAATATCAAGGCTGGGGTTTTTAATTCTTTCATTATTGATTATCCAAATCAGTCTGTGAAGCTCATGAAGTTGCTGATGTTCCTGTATATATTATCTATATATACAGGATTACCATCCTAAATGAATATAACTTTTTGTGTCATTAGACATAGAGGCAAACTTAATATTTGTATATAAAATTGCATACTTGGGAAACAAACTATTTTTATATCTTCAGAAGCACTCAGATTTGAAGAGAAATAATACATATTTGAGGAATTAAATGATATGTCCAAATATTCATTAATATGATACGTCGTCTTACTTCCCTTTACTTTGTTCATAGGTACCACTTGGAGTGAAGAGAAAATGCCTGAACATTTTACAGATAACTTTTGTCAAATATGTGGAGTGGTTCTGCGATTCAAATCACAAAGGATTGCACATTATAAGGTTGGTTAAGCATAATAAGAATACCTAGAAAGCAAGTTTTTAAATGTAGCAAATAAACTTCATATAAGTCATCTTATTTGATTATTACAAGAATCTTGCGAAATAGATGGTAATATTTCCCTTTGATGGATGAGAATATATTGGCTCAGAGAGAGACAGTAGCATACTACCTGAAGTTTGGTGAGTCTGATTTAAATTCAAATTGCTTTGACTTCAAAGTTTATTTTCTTTACTTCACACCATCTTGTTTTCTGTTGTGTTTATTAAATCACTATATCATGTGTCCTTGTAGTAAATATAAAATAGGAAGTATCACAGTTGCATAGGAAGCTATAAATATAAATGTGAATTAAAGAATCTTATGGGACACCGAGAGTGTTCCTTTACCACAAATGAAAGCTTTAGAAACTAAATGAACCAATCTTGAATTTGGATTAGCCACATGTTTTTAGGCAGTCAAACATAAAATTTTAAATCTTCATGACAACATGGGTACTTTTCTTACTCTTTTAGTTTATAGATTAAAAAAAAAAAAAAACAAAATCCAGAGTAATTCTTTGTGACTAGTATTGGCATGATGAAGCCTAAAAATGATTTTTTCTGATTGCATACTCAGTGTTCTTTCTTTTCATTTATCATTGCTTCATATTCTGCATCACCTGGTGAGACATTAGAATTATTTTGTATTTGATATCTAGATTACCAGTGCATAGATCCATGTTCTTCAAACAACTATATTACCAGTTCTACTTTTTGAATCACCTCATCTAGTTTTGCCATTGCTAATCTTATTAGCAGCTATATTTCAATCTTTATATTGATGGTGATTATATTACTATGATTATTGATAGGAAAATCGACTACTTGTACAGCTGGACAAGCCACATAACCATTCCGAACATGATTCTTAAGCCTAAAATATGAGAGTAACAAAAAGTCTCTTACTGTTTGTGTGGAAATTAAGTGAAATCAAACATTGGAGCGTGATTAGTATATTCTCAGATGCCATAAATCAACTAGATTAGTAAAGAATTAACAGTGGCTCTATAAAAACTGCTGTCAGAATTATTTGAACTTAGTCCTCAAAAGTAATTTTTGATGTTATTCATTGTAAAAAATATAACAAAATGAAAACAATAATTCTATCATTTGTACTTAATTGTCATTTAATTTTTCCTTTGTTTCTATGATTTTAATGTATTTTTGATGCTAAATAGGTGTACATTCTCACCAAAATAATTATATAAATATATATTGTTTTTTGCATGGTTTTTCATACGAGAACACATTCTGTACATTTTATATTATATACGTTATTTGTAGCTCTAGAAATTGCACTCAGGATCTTTGCACTGAGCTATATCCCAAATCGTTCTTTATTTTTCATTTTGAAGCAGGGTTTTTATGTAAGTTGCCCAGGCTGGTTTCAACTTCCAGGTCTCTTGCTTCAGCCTTCCAGAGATCATAATAATTTTAACTGCTATGAAGAATTATATTTTTAAATTTAAATTTTAGCGATACTTGCAGTTAGGTTGTTGAACCTATTAAATGAATTTAAAACTAGTGATAACATTCTGTATATTAAAAATATGTTCTCTGTAAATATTCTACTTAAAAAGCATGAATATTTTTCCCTTTGCATTATAGCGCAGTTAAGGCTGTCAGGCTATATCAAGATAGTATTCATTGTACATGTAAAATATGACAAATTAGTAGGATTTTGAGGTTGTATTTATTAGTATTTCCCTTTGTATTTATGATTGTGATTGAGAAAACATCCTATATACTTTTCTTATGTAAGTACTTCTGTTTTTTTCTAATCTTTGAAAACTTCATTTTGCACATTAAGGTGTTAATTCACTTGTTATTAATTTTTGTGTGGAGAAGGTGATAATGTATTTTCATATGGATACCAGTTATAACCAGAAATATTTATTAGATGAGGTATGATACTATGGCAACTAAGTTTTTAAAAATTGTTACGGTACATAGTGAATTGCTATATATTCCTTTCCCAGTACTCTCTACCACTTTGAATATACTTGTTCTTATCACTTCCTAAAACAGTTCGGGAAGTCCTCTTTCATAAGAGTCTTCGGTTGCACAGTGTAGTTGCCTCAGGTCCCTGAATCAACTCAAAATATTTACCTTTTGTGGCCATTTTAATTTTGAAGAAGTTACATGGTGCGGCACCAGTAAATGAAGCAAATGAGGATGCACCATATTTTTATAACCCTGGCTTTCCATTGGATAGCACTCAGCATCAACAGTCACTGTATTTTTTTGCAACATCTTGCAAAGTTACTCACAAAAGAGGACTTGCAGAACTACTTGTGAAAGTGAAAAGAAGGATAGGATAAATGTACTCAAAATATGGGAAGTATTTTAATGAGAATTAATAGCAATTTATCTTGTAATGTAATGATATTTTAAAATGTAAACATTAACCATATATTTGGGTCATCTCTTGTATAGTCCAACCTTACTACACTAACTTACAGTGCTGTCTCTGTCATATTGCATCCCACATATATTCATCTGTTTTTGATACTATTTTTCTGTTTATTTTATTAGCTTGTTTTTCTTTCTGTACAACTGTTTCACCTTAAGTCATAGCTATGTAATAAGGCATTATACCTATAAGGTAAATTTATATGACAAAAAATTCATAAAGTAAGTTAAAAGAGGAACTGCAGATCAGGTAGTATTTCTAACCCAAAACATTAATGTCTGGAATATATAAAGACTACAAATCAATTAGAACAAGAATCCAAAAGAAAAAAAAATTGATATGAATGGGATAGAGAAGAGTTATTCAGTTTTGCTAGTGTACAGTTTTCATTTCATAGTTAGTGTTGTACTCTACTCAAAAAACAGGGCCCCATGATGAAAAATGGGGCAAGACCCCAAGATGACAAACGGGGCAAGATGTCCTTTTTAAAAGAAGCACTTTTATTTTAGCTGGCCCAGTGACACAGTGCAGATGGAATTTGCAAAGGTGTGCAACTGAGTTAGAGTTTTGACTGATTTTTATAGTTCATTTATGATTAGCTCATTGATCATTAAGTACATAGTGGTGAGAAACAGAAATAAGGTGGGCCTTTGTTCCCCTTTGCTTGAGGTCAGAGGCATTTCACAGTGGGTGGTTAGCCAATTCATAGCCCGTGGTCTGCCAATTTCAGGAACATTTATCTCTCATAAAGGGAACAATGGTTGACACAGCATCATTTGTCTCTTACAAGGGGAACAAAAGTTGACATAGCACACAGGTCACGAAGGTGGGGGGGATGACGCATTACAGAACAGCAGAACGACGTGGTCAGTTAATTTATAACTATGTGGTTGGTGCTTGGTTACTAGGGTAATGAGCTCAGTACAGAATGACAATATTACTAATAACTATTTTTTAAGTAACTATTTTTGTTAATTATCTTTTGATCAATTATTTTAATTTTTAGCATCTTAATATAACATTCCCCACTGATTTTTGTCAGTGATCCAAATCTTTGGCTCATGGAATTTTTAAGCAGTTGTATTTGTTTATAAACTTGTGTCCTTAAAACCATGAGTTTTATTGTTTGAACCTGGTCTTTGACATAATTTACTAATCTGTTTATAATGTAAGGTCCAATTGTTAAACAAGTGGTAAGATTAACAGAGGTCCAGAGGCTGTTGTGATTAACATTGTCAACGAGGGAGATAGAGAAAACCATTGTTTAAACCAATTTTGTTTAGCTTGTCTGGCTTGTTTTCATTTCTGTAGCCACCTTTTAAGGATGGCCATATTTTGTCTGATAACCCCAGAATGATTGGCATACAAACAACAATTTTTTTTCTAATGCCAGACAAAGGCCTCCTTCCTTTAGGAACAGGGGATCTAGACCCCACTGGTTTTTTAAAACCATCTCAGTCAGTGAACTTAAAGAATCGTCTAATTTGGAGACAGAGTCACTAAGGGCTGCTAAATCTTGGTCAATGAGTGCATGTAAGTGTCTATAATTTTGGTCTTTTGACTATTAGGCTGGACACTCTTAAACCTATTGACCTTGTTATCTCAATTTTTAGTAATACAGGTAATAATACAGGATTTTTTTTTTTGTTCTTACTGGACTCTTTAAGTCAAAGCTAGGGAACAAGTGACTCTTACCATTATCTCTAGAGTACCAATATAGTTGGGAAAAGATATGGACTAATATGTAAAGCTCAGGGCACTGGGTGAACAGGTGATACATGGAACAAGGAGTTATATTAGAAGTACAGGCAAACCAGGCTCCATTGGGAGCAACAAGGTGTTGATTAGCAGGATAGGAAAAAGTATAAATCAAAGCTGGAGAGGTAGGATTACAGAGTGCAGCATAAGGGGAAGTGTGCAAGGAGTAGGAAGCAGAGTAAACACAGATTTTTAGAGCACCCTGTACATTGTCCAGTGTGAGCAGGGGCTTAGCATCCCACCAACAAAAGGTGTCATCTGTAGAGGAATTTAAAAGTTGATTTGCCATAAGCAATGTCCAGAGGCAAGAAGGGGCTAGACATGACACAGAAATTGCAGAGGGTAAAAAGGTCTCAGGAGCAGGAAGTCTAGTGGAGGAGAACAGAAGATGGGGTCTCCAGAGTGAGGAAAAAAGGTAATGACCACATTTATTTTTCTGTCAAGGAGATACAAATTTTCAACCCCAATGTCTACAAAAATATTTCGTCTCTACGGACTGTGAACACCTATGATCAGAGGCTGGCTGTTGGTTTTGGGGGCAAAGATACAAGCCAGTGGACTGTAATTTTTTTTTTAATACATAGGTCCCTGTAATTCTCTATCAGCAACCAATCAGGCAGGATGACATGCAAACCCAACAACATTTTTTTGTCTAATTTTTGCTGGGATGTTATCTAATAGGGAACATAAATCTATCTTAATTATCTCATAGACAGTAGCATTGGCTACCGATAATTTACCAGTGAAACAGTCAGTAATTAAGTTTTAAACAGAGGGTTATAAGGTATCT